AGTACGTAATAGGCCTAAGCAACAAAAAACATGCAAATCAAACAGAAATAGGCTACAACCTGACGATTGCGTTATGTACCAAATCTGCCTATTGTAGATCTTTTAATGTCTGCCACAAAATCGAGACTTTGTTTATTATCATAGCAATTGTACCTGACAATCGAGACATAACGCGATTTCTTGTCAAAACTTCAAACATCCATAACTTCGCTATGATTACATACTGTCAATGGAATAGCATGTCCAAATGTCCACTAAAACAAATTTAGCGAATATTGTCACCGGTTATGCTAAAATCGCAGCAAATCGGCTTTGTAAACCTTACAAAATGCATATTTAATAATACGCAGATTTGTTGTGTATTAGAAGTGTGTCGTAAAGACTGAAAAAGAAGGCAAGGCATCACAGGGCTGAGAAATATATATATTTTCAACTGTCATAATACACATCTAGGTTCCGTATGAAAACAGATAACCAAACAGCAATCTGATTAAAATACAGATCTATATTTCGTTTCGTTTTTTTATGGCCTACAAAGACAAGTAAAACTAAATTTTGAACTATAAAAACGAAACGAAATAGGATCTGTGTTTTAACCAGATTGGCCAAACAGTAGCAGACGAAACAGAGCTAAATGGGTCACCAGTAGCCCACCTTGCTTCTGATACCTATTGTATATTTTGTATTGTCATCTAACAATATTGTGTACAATTATGTTATATATGGTACAATGGGTCTGTGACCTATACTGAATAATACAGATTATTATTATTAACGGTAGCCGTAAAGTTGTATTAAACTGCCCCTGTTCCCCGCGGGATGACCTGAAATCAACGGAAACTGGAAATTGGATGTAATCACTTGGGGTCAATGCTTATATAGAACGGTAAAGATATCCTTAAAACAAATTCACCAACAAAAGACACAATTCTCAAATCATGGGAGTCAAAAAAAAACTTTACCCAAATTTCTAATCCTACTCAATCCTAACAAGGCGCAGTGTCTACTTGTTCGGATAGAACTAAATACTTAGGTCTAGTGTACAAATTGGCACGTAAAAAAAACCCTTATAAACAGGATACCGTTTGACGTAAAAAATGCCCTCTGAGCTTTCAAATGATTATGACGAACTGGAAATGCGTTTTAGTTCATTTTGACGACATAATCAATTTCTCCGAAAACTTTGAGCAGCATATATATCCAACATTTACATAATGTGTCCATCACACTCACGAAAGCCTGAATTACACGAAAGCATTCCAAATGCAAGTTCCCAGCTAAAAAAAATGTCGGGTTGACCAGATGAAGATTGACGCATTTCTAGCTTTTCTAGTTTCTAATTATTGTAGGACATTCTTCCTAAACTACGTTAAGATAGCAAATGCACTTTACCGACTATTACAGAAAGGAGGTGAATTTAACTGGCCAAAAGAGTGTCAACCTACTACACTACAGCTCCCATATCGACGTAGTATAGCAAAGCCTTTGCCCTGACAACAGATGCCAATGCTAATTAATTTGATACATTTTGAGAAATCTGGCGTTGGTGGTCTAGAAAGGGTTATTCACTATTGGGACCATACACTGGGGTGTATCTTTATGAAGAGTGCCTTGCTCTGGGATGTATTAGAAATGTCCATGTTTAACTTACTAATTTTAAGGTCACTGTCGTGACAGACCATAAAGCAATGACGCCCCTTCATACCGTAAAAACCCCAGGACGCCTTTGACGATCGGCATTGGAAATCCAAGCATATGACTTCGATATCGCCCATACGACTGGTAAGGAAAACACCAACGCTGATTCTCCGTCTCGTAGAGCGGTAAATTCAAGAGGAAGACCATAAACAGGAGGAAGTTCAGTCAGCTCTTTCCAGAATATATCGTTCCCAAACGAGGTTCCCAAGCAATGCTCGCATACCGCGACTTACGAGCATGAGAATGTCATAAGGGTAGAGACCGCAAGCGCAGTACTGATACACACATGTTATTGGCCAAAACTGTAGCCCACCAGTCAATGAATGAATTTTGTGGCCAGGTAAAACCTATTAGCGAATCAAATCTGGTTATCGTCCTCCAGTATCGTCTCAAATATGCCAGTTTAAGAGCTAATTTCTCTAATAATAATAATAATAACGACATTTATATTGCGCAACTATTCATCTCACTTGGGGATGCTCTAGGGGCATGAAAGTGTTCACATGGATCAATTATAGTGCCTAAACAGCCAGGTTTTCACACTTGATTTGAAGATAGACAATGTTTCACATTTTCGAATGGAAGGTGATAGCGAATTCTATAGCATTGATGCATTATACTGAAAAGTCCTTGAACCACGTAGACTTCCTAGATCGATTTCTTACCAGTACAGACGGATTTAAATACGCACGTTATTAGTATGCATATATAAAATATGGAGGGGCTACGGAATTCTTTGGAGGGGCTGGGGATGTTGCCGGCTAAGAACGCTCCTAAGAAATCATTATTGTTGGCGAAATATCGGGGGGGGGGGGCTCACAGTGGCTACGGGCTCGGTCATGGCGCACCTGAGATCGCGAAAATAGTGTACAATTAAATTTTCAACAGGTATGGCTTTCCGAGAAAATGTGTTAGTGACCGTGACGCTGGTTTTATGTCTAGACTAGTGGGCGCCGTATGTGAAATTCTCAAAGTTAAAAAAGGGCAGTACCAGTTCATTATGAAAAACCAAAGAGCTCTTTAATCAGTGTTATTAATTCTTATTTCTTAAGAGTCATTCCACGAGGATACCATGCAGAAGGTGGGAAGGTGGGGGTCGGCAGATCAAGTTCATCTCGGGGGGATTTTATGGACTCCTCAAGACTACTTCACAGCCAGGAGGGCCGATCTCAAAATTTCACTGTTATTGAGAAGCAGCCTCTGGGTGATTTTTGGCCAATTTTGCAATTTTCAGGTCATTTTTGGTCAATTTTCAGCCACCTATTGTAGCGAGTCTAGGGTTTGGATGGAAATGGTTGTGATTGGTGGGTCTTCCTGTGCCCCAGTGTGAAGACCATAAAGTCGCATCTATTCTCTGGGAGTAATGATCAGCAAAATTGTAACATATGGCGACTAAAACCGAAAATATACACCTGCGGAAATTAGCTCTATTTTCTATGATGCGGGGGTAGGTCAAAATATCGAAATGGTTTTATGCACAGCTCGACACACTCTATCGATATAACAAAATAAAATCTCTGTCACCTCTCTTCAATCAATGCAAAATAATAAGTCAAATTTGGTGAATTTTCCCTATTGTAATCTCTCATTCTCTATGAAATGGCCAACTACTTTCATTCAGGGTAAGCCAGCTTTCTCCGTTTCTTCAACAAATCATTCGCCAGCGCTCGCAGGTAGCAGCCTGTAACCCGCTCGAGCAAAACTAGTCTCTTTGATGATGAATGGTATCCAATCTATGATGGCCGCGCCCGAGACCGCAGAAAATTGTGTTTTTCCTTCATTTTTGGCCATAGAATGTGGTACATATCCCAGATATGAGCATTGAAATGACTTAATAGATTGAAAGAGTGTACTACGGACATTAAGGCCCGTCCTTTAGCACATTACATAGCAATAAGTGAATTGAGAACCGAATGGGAGCTGATTTCTTGAAGAAGTGGGATTCTAGATGGAAAGGTGATATGTGCGGTCCACCGCTACCGCCTGGGTCTCAAATGGAATATTCCAAAATGATGTAAACAATATGCTGTCCATAATGAGGAAATGGGCTGTCAAAAGAGCCAATTTGCTGCACCACCTCAGGTTAGTTCTTCAAATAAATGATATGACGTAGGGTCAAAAATTAAACTTCATCGTGGGATCATTTTCAGAGCCCAAATTAAATCTTTCCATGCCCTTAAAACTAAATTTGTATATGAAGGACATTTCTATCAGGGGTCACCTCTCAAAATATTGTTGATATCAACCCCAACGTATATGGGCCATTGAAAATTTTCTTGCATCGAGTCTCCGAATGATGGACTGGCTGGTAACAGGGACTCCTGCAAATACTTAGAAAATAATTTTAGTAAATTATTTTATGCGGTTTGGTTGTTTCAGGTTACTGTTAGAACTGATGAAATCCCTCCCACTGCTACATCACCTGCAGCTACTGGTAGTGTTGTTTACATCCATCATCAATTTACTGCTACTACATCACCTGCAGCTATGGGTGCCTCTTCCTTCTGTAACAGCTATTGGTAATGACACCAGTAACAGTTATGACTTAGAACTACCAATAATAGGCCTAGATCAGGTAATGATGATTACATGCAAAACCTTTAGGAAGGTTGCTAAGAATTCGCTGAAACCCTACATCAAAACAAATCAGAATTAGAATACTGGGATTGGTTCAAGATTCGCATGTAATCATCATTATCTGATCTAGGCCTATTATTGGTAGTTATTACTGTCACTGGTGTCGCTACCAATAGCGATTACAGAAGGAAGAGGCAGCATGGCGGTTGCAATACCCATAGCTGTATGATGTAGTAACAGTAGATTGATGATGGATGTAAGCAGCACTACCAGTAGCTGCAGATGATGTAGCAGTGGGAGAGATGTCACCAGTTCCAACAGTAACCTGAAAGAACCAAACCATACAAAATAATTTACTAAACTTATTTTCTAATGTACTATTTGCATGTAAGATGCTGCATGTAAGAGAGCACCATAAGAAAAATATATTAATAAATAATAATAATAATAATAATCGTTTTCTATTGCGCAGAACATTCAGTCAGTTTGACTGCTCTGTGGTGCTTTACAATGTAGATATGATTATAAAAAACATACATGTATATACAAATAAACAAAAGAATACAAAGGATAGTCAAGGACTAGTCAAAGTAAAAAATATGGCGACGAGCGTCATAAGAAACTCATTAACAGAACACAGTTGTTATGGGAAACAATCACTGGTTTATTCTAAAAGCACGACGTTTCGACAAGTATCCTCTTATCGTTATCAAGCACAATGACATTCAGTAAACTTAGGATTAAAAAGTGTAAAAGATAAGCAAAAAACAAAACAAGACGAAAGGCTTATTAATTAAGCAGTCCAAACATGGCTAATGAGGTAATAAAGATGAGACCATTTACCAAAATATAGATAAAACTGATAATAAGTAATGCAAGCACCATATTGCCCAATCACAGATGACTAAATAAACAAGATAGGTGATGAATATGAATAGTAGATTGGGCAAGTTGGTTATGACAATAACGAAATGAAATGAAATGAGGTTTAACGTCCTACTCTTCTGCTCCTAAAATGGGCTAATGAAGTGTGCGATGAGGGAAATTTAGCCCGGACAGCGGCGTTACGGCCTACTCTTATATCGAATTCCAACTGCCAAGGGATCTTTTACGTGCACGCCAATATTTACACGGGACCTCAGTTTTTCGTCCCATCCGAACGACTAGACAGCTGTCCTTGTCAGGCCCATCACCATCACCAAAAAGCTAAAATATCATATAACATATAAAACCCTCTCAGTTTCCAAGTGCAAGCTTTGTTTTGAACTTGTTCTGACCACATTTCTATCATTTGTTCTTTTGTATAGGAATGTCCAGCAATTTTATTTTCAAACCAACAAATATCTACAAATGGTTTTCTGTAATCGAATCCTCGATTATGAATCAATTTAACTGCTGCACGTGTCCTTACTATACCAGTAATGAAAACATCTTCTAAAAAATGATATTTCGTCTTTAATGCTGCACTGAGTAATTTCCCCGCTGCATCTCCGGATAAAATGTAGGCGAGTCCAGATACATAATGTGGTAAATATGTTAATGGATAGCTAATCTTGTCCAAATACCACTTTGACCCTTTGTTCCGATTAGGCATTGGGAACGAAAATATATATCCCATAATCATATTTGTCTCATTTCGATTACGTAAATCCGCGATCAATGCCGGCAGGTTCATAAAAATATCCACATCAACTTTTAGTACGTATTTTACACCAGAACAAAACGTGTTGGCGAAACGAAGAATGGCTTCAGATTTAATACTGAGATTACGGTAACTATCGTAAAAATCCTCTTGAATAATATCGTGGTATTTTTCACTTTCAGTCTTTAAATCATGACTGTGTATCTCCGGACGATATCCCAACATAAAAACCAATCGTATTTCTTTATTACTCACAGCTAAAGAACCCCAGGTTTGCCGCACAGCTTGTCTTTCTTCAAACTCAGACGTTCTTGAAGGAATTGCTATTAACAGAAAAATTTTGCCTGGAAAAGGTTTACAAATTTCCTCTTCATTGATGAGATATTTATAGCTGTGGGTTCGAGTGTCCGCAAAACAATGTTCAGACAAAAAAGAGTATGGCTCAGGACCGCAGACAGTGTATTCAACGGCAAGAGAATAAAATATCCAAATAAAAGTAAAAACAAAAGCTGCAACTATTAGTGTCTGTTTCTTTTTACGCCATAGCTTAATCATATTGCACAGTACCGCACATAGATCTGTAAATAATAAAAAAGAATAAGTATTGGTTTGAGTCTTAAAATCCTACTCCAACTGTGATAGTCTAAACAATTAAGGGCCACAAATTATTTCACCTGTTAGCAGTGGCGGCGCCAGCCGTCGGTGATTGGAGGGGCAAAGCTGGGGCAAAGTCCAAGGTTAAGGGGGCAAAGGCACGATCTTCAACTAGGGGTAGTGGGCCTCCCCCAGAAAATTTTGAAAAACAGGTTGCAGGAAATGCAGCCTGGCAGTATTTCAGGCACTGATCGATGAGGTAAAGTGTCAAACGAACGGACTTGCGAATCACTACGAAGCCCACTCACGAGCGTCAAAGTAGGGAGTCCTACTCCAGAAAATTTTGAAAAATAGACTGCCGGAAACGCTGTCTTACAGTATTCTGTCAGGAACCGATCGTCGAGATAAATAGATCTGACCAGATACCGTCCGTCGCCTGATCACTAGTTTATCCGACTAGAGAACAAAATGTCAAACGAACGGACTTGCGAACCTCAACGAATTCCCCTTTTGAGCGCCAAAGTAGCGAGTCCATTGGGGACCTCGCCAAGAAAATTTTGGAAAATAGACTGTCGGAAATGCTTTATAACATGCAAGTTTATGACTGAGTGGGGATGTGGGATTTATTCACCGTAGAAGGTATTGATTACCGAAACGTATCACAAATATTTTTTTTTATTTTCTAAAATTATTGGGGGGGGGGGGGCAAACAGAGGGCAGACCAAATTAATGGGGGAGCAAATGCCCCTCTTGCCCCCCGGCGCCGCCACTGCCTGTTATTTGTCGATGGAAACGGCATAGCTTGATCATACTGCAAAATCCCACTCCAACTTTGATAGTCTAACCAATTAAGGGCCACAAATTATTTCACTAGTTAGTAGTCGATGGAAACGCATCGCCGTACGGGTCTCCATACCTCATAAGCTTTTACAAAAACTATAGCCTCTATCGCATTTACATGGTTTTCGAAAAAATAGAGGGATAACAACTTTTAGCGTGTTTGAAAAGAAATGAGAAGCACGTAGATGATCCTATTCATTCAGAGATATTTCATTTTAACCCGGGGTGGTTGGAGTTTAACGTTTGTTTCCATGGTAGTGATATCGCAGCGGTGACCAGGGAAGATAACTGCGTAAATAATGAATTTATTGTCGTATTTAGGAAAAAAGTGAACTATCTGAAGTTAGTGATTTAACCGACACAACATTTACATACAGCATTCAAAAATGACCTTTATTCACATTATTTCAACATTGATCAATTAAATGGTCAAGTTTCCTTCGCTAAGGGTTAGGGAACTAGCCGAACTACTTTTCTAGATTTTGACTTAATAGTTGTGATAGCGATTCATGGGAGATGGGGGGGGGGGGTGTACAGGAACAGTAATAAAACACCTTCAAATCTAATGCGCACAGATCTAGTAACCACGCAACAAAGGAGATTTAGAATGAATTTTTACGTACCTTATTGCACAAGCCCTACGTTAAATCAGGAAATTGAGCAAGATATAATACTAGTCCAAATGTTTCCTGACAAGAACAGCTGTCTAGTCCTTCGGATGAGACGAAAAACCGAGGTCCCGTGTATATATTGGAATGCACGTAAAAGATCCCCTGGCAGTTGGAATTCGATATAAGAGTAGGCTATAGTGCCGCTGCCCGGGCAAAATTTCCCTCATAGCACACTGTATGGCGTATGCCCGTCTTCAGTAGCCCAGTATAGGAGCAGAACAGTAGAACGTTAAATCCCATTTCATTTCATTTCATTATTTCTTTCAATTAGCACATATTACTTACAAGTATGTGAACTACAAATTGTGTACAAAAAGAACACCGGAGCCTGTCTACCACCGCCCTCTCATAAATTATTCATTTATATTATATATTAGCTCATATATTATATGAGTAGTGGTGTATATGGCTGTTAACTACAATGACATGTATTGCTAAACATCATCATACAAATTATATAGCATTGTCACTGTCAATCCACATGGGAATGCCAGTATGCTAGATAGATGGATTTATTTAGCACAAATATATACAACATAATGGTACACAGAATTGTTAATCCGGCCCTGACTTCTAGCAAAACAGGATTATTATCAGGAAGAAAGTAATATTCAGTAATAATCGTACGGTGCAAGATAGGATAAGAGATCAACTTCAAAGGTCGACGGCTTCCCATGAAATCCAACAATTGAACTCACTGCTTGCTAGTCTGCTCCCTACCTTTTCTGAACGAAGGGTCTGATTTAAGGGTCTGAACGAATCCATAAGCCCTTTGTAGTCCAAGTTACTAAATACCTGCTCGGTATGGAGGAGAGAGAGAAATGGAGTTTAGCGTCCACTCGACACAAACTAGGTCTTTCGCGGCAAACATATGGTTCAATTTTATTTCAATAATTCGCTTGCGCGTTGGGGTCATTAGCAGTGGGAGGAAACCGGAGGACCCTGAAAAACCCACGAGGTTGGACAGGCAACCATACTCCTTGTCACGTACAACCGGGGATTCGAAAGCACGCCAGTTGATTCAATGCCAGACCTTATGATACAGCGCGTACGCGCTAACCATTCGACCATCCAACTCCCATACCGATATCTGTTCGGTATCATACATCATACCATTTATCTACGTGGTAGTTAAACAGTATAGCTCTACTATGTAATATTTAAATTATCGGCCAATATAATTTATCATCTCTTAATTAAACACACTATTCTGGCTTTATCACAATTCATTCAATTTATACTATTGATGTCCAAAAGAAAGAAAGAACTGAAAAAAAAGTAGATTTAGAATTAAGTTATTACGCACCTCTTATTATGTTATTATGCAAGCCGTAAATTTCGTCAGTATATTTAAAACAAAACCTGAAACCAATTCGTTTCAGTTCGCTGGTTTATATAGATTGATGTGAAATATAAAGAGCCTACAGCAAAACAATGACACTAATACATTAAAAATAATATCTGTACATATATACTCAACGACAAAAGAAACGGATATCTAAATAAAGATTTCAGAAGGGTAAATTTAAAATGGCTGTGGAACTGGTATGGGTTGGGATAAGGGGACAATTTATTTTTTCAGTATCGTAATTAAGAAGGAAGTAGTTTACAAATTTATTTACAACATTAATACCATGCATCTTTACAGTCTTTGTAGTGTGTATGTCCTTCATTAGCATCAACAACAGCGAGAGAGAGAGAGAGAGAGACAGAGAGAGAGAGAGAGATGGTGTTTAACGTCCACTCGACACAAACTAGGTCATTTCGGGACTAACATATGGTTTAATTTTATTTCAATAATTCGCTTGCGCGTAGGGGTCTTTAGCAGTGGGAGGAAACCAGAGGACCCGGAGAAAACCCACGAGGTTGGACAGGCGATCCTACTCCTTGTCACGTACAACCGGGGATTCAAAACCACGCCAGTTGACTCAATGACAGGCTTTATGATACAGCGCGCACGTGCTAACCATTCGACCATCCAACCGCCCTTACATGGACGCAATAAGTCAGTTTATTTTATTTTTTTAAAAAAAACCTATATTTTATTCAATAAGAATAGGATTGGGGAACAGATTAGGCCTATATCACCCCTCTTCCTTTAACAAAACAATATAATTACAATTAGTTTACTTAAATACATGTATATAGTCGAAACTATTCATATTGTGTTATTATTTAATAAAATTCTGAAAGTATACAATAATTTTTTTTTTTTCAAATAAAAAGGTTATTTGATATACATAATGACTAATTTTGGTTTAAGGCCCGAAGGTGTACAAATATGTAAACAGAATCTAGTGATGATAATGATAAATGACGATTTCAGTACTTAAAGTAGCTAAGTCTCTAACTTAATATCATCCAAAGTCTTCGACATTGAAAACACGAATTATTTGTCAATTTAAACCAACATTGATGTTGTGATCTTACCGTGAAAAGATGGGCTTCTGATATCCAATATTTAAGACAAGATAAAATTTTAACATTGGTACACGATTCGTGTACCATAATGCGTTTCAGCGCTATTTGTAACAAGGGACTTGAAGAACGAGACTAGAGATATTCCACAAGTCATGTCAAGCGGTGACCCCATTTTCTCATCTGGAGAGCATGCGCAATAAATACTATCGGTGTAGACTGGAATAACCAGAAGCTAGAGGTTGCCATTCGATTGATACTTCTGGCGTATTTCGCCGAACTTAACTGATTGAAAATTAGATTAAAAACGGAAACGATTGAATGTAAATCAGCTAATATATATTCATATTACATTATTTTATGCGTTGCGACCCATTTGTGTCAATTTCTAGATCCCAAATATTAGCGACTTAGCTCCTTTAAAATCTATTACTTAATTCTAAAAGGTTTTGCACCTCAGAAAATATTAATTTATTTTGTTCAAGTGAAATATCCGTAGAGCCATACAATAGAAATTTGTGTTGATGTATTCTGTTGTTAATGTTTTTATGGTTGTATTTCGTGCATCTGAATATACGGGAAATATCAGCAGAAAGTGATAAGGATCTTCAAAATTGTGTCCACATCGGCAGGTTGGAGAATCGGTTATGTGTCTTAAAAATGCATGCCCATTTAGATCACTGTTTGATAAACTAAGTCTTGAATGGATGATTTGAACTTTTCTTTTACCAATATTGTAATAAGAAGGTACCAAGTGATCATGATTTTGGAGTTTTTGTTTAAAAATGAATAACGTATCTGAATTATGTATAGAAAGACCTAGATTGTTCCAAAGTCGTGTAGTTGAAGGAAAGAAAGAATTATAAAA